TGTCTGTCTGTCTGTCTGTCTGTCTGTCTGTCTGTCTGTCTGTCTGTCTGTCTGTCTGTCTGTCTGTCTGTCTGTTGTAGAGGTGACGTTTTGAGGGGAGGGGGGGTATCGATGGGATATTAAAGCCGGTCACTTCTACAAACCACGAGTCGGCCCTGGACAAAAGTACAAGTGGTTAACACTTTGAAACTGATGGAGGGCGCCACTTATAAGTCTTGCTTCTCCTTTACCTTTGTTGATTTTGTCAACCCGTCTAACTAATATTGTGCATTACATAACCGTTATTGTGTGTTCTATTATTCAAACAGCTAAAAAAAATCTATAATCTCAGCAAGATCAACAGATAATTTGTCATTTATTAAGTAGTAACTAAGAGAGTGATGGGATGTGCCATTTGCACAAGGCTGAAGCAGCAAATTTTCACTTGCCTAGAATATCAATCCCAAGTCCTTATATGAGCGTACTTACACGTGGAGATTTTCAATAGACATGTTAGTCATTGGTAGGCACAGGGCTGTGCTTGATACAGACTTCTTGCAATTTGTTCATGTCTTTTGGTTGCCGATTCAAAGTGGAAAGAAGGTGGGGCTGAGGGGTAAGAGGGGGAGGGATGCTTGAACTGAAGACACATTTTAGAAAAATGTTCACAAACTGACCAGAACTAAGCAATGAATGATTGATGGTTTTGTTGTATTTATTTTGTACCTGTTGTTTATGATTTTGATGCTTGTTGTTTGGGTTGTTTTGATTGTTTGTTTGTTGTTGTTGGTTGTTTTCTTGTTGTTGTTTTTGGAAGGTGGGTGGTGGTGTTTTCAAGTGGGTTTTCTTTATTTGTATGTCTGTACGCGCGCGCGCACGTGGGTCTGTGTGTGCTTGTGTGTGTGTGTGTGTGTGTGTGTGTGTGTGTGTGTGACTGAGTGTCTGTGCGCATGGGTGTATGTTGTGTGTGTGTGTGTGTATATATATATTGGGAGGAGTTGTTTTGCTTTCTTTCTTTATTTTTTGGTGTGTTCTTGCCCTTGTTGTTGTTGTTGTTGTTGTGTGTGTGTGTGTGTGTGTGTGTGTGTGTGCTTGTATGTGTGCTTGTGTGGGGTTTTTTGTTTTTGTCTTTGTTTTTGCTAAAACCAATTATATTACTTTATGTTGTAAAAATGATGTTTTGAAAATTCCATTGTAAGACATTTTTTGTAAGGATTGGAAGCCTTTACCATTTCATGTATTGGTAGACAAAGTACTCCATAATTTTGGAGCAGAAATTGAAAAAAGTCTTTCCTCAAAACAAGACTTTGTGGTTCTGCCAGGCATCCATTCCGTTCGCTGTGGTCGGCTGCAACACCGTGGTGGAGGCAGGAGGGAAAAAGATCAGAGGACGAGCTTACCCGTGGGGCATTGTGGAAGGTGAGTTGTCTAAAAAAATGTTAGGGTAAACTATGCTTTCTTTTGTTATGTTTTTGGGGTTGATATATTACTTATGGTGTGTGCATTACTTTTTTGTTTGATTGTGGTGGTGATTATATTATTATTATTTTTTTATGATGGTGTTGATGGTTAAGATTGTTGTTGTTGTTGTAGTTGCAGTTGATGTTGTTGTTGTTGTTGTTGTTGTTGTTGTTGTTGTTATTGTTGTTGTTGTTGTTATTGTTGTTGTTGTTGTTGTTGTTGTTGTTGTTGTTGCTGCTCCAGCTACAACTTTTTGTCATTCTATTGTTATAGTCATAAGTATTTTAGCCATTTTTAAATATTATTTAGCTGAAAAATATTGTATATTTGTGTTCACCAGACGAAAGTGATTTTCATTAATAATAAATTATATTAATTTTCAAGGAAGTGATAACTGGCATGCAAATGTCTTACTTAGGCTTAGATGATATATTTGTGGGCCGTCGTCCGGGTAAATTGAAAATTTAATTCTTACCCCAAACTGAAGCTACTGTTGTCAGTATAAATGATTACAGAGTACCTCTAAAAACAGCACATTGCTGCCAGCCAGGCAAGAGATGATCCTTTGTTAATTAGTGTAGATTAAACAGCCATTTAAGCATAACCATCATCACCATGGGATGAATATCGAAGCGCCAGTTACCCTCTGAGCTCTTTCAGGGGTAGAAAAACATAAATATAAACATGTAGTTGTTTGTAATTAATAATCTGTTCTAGTTTCACTCTGAAACACATTACAACATGATGATGATGATGATGATGATGATGATGATGATGATGATGATGATT